GGATGTGGAAGAATTGGGCATAACTTCAGGATTGCAATTATGTGCCAGAGCAATAGAAAAGGGCTACAGATCAACCGTATGGAAGATTCCTTACCCCAAGAGGCTATGGTTATGCCTAATCCTCAAATAGCGAGTCTTATGATTCCAGTTCAGAAGATGAGGAAGAAAATAGAGGAAATAAAAGAAATTTTGATGCCAGAAAGTAGAAAAATGTTCCAAGAGAGTTTTCAGATACTGTCAGCTCTCCAACAAAGAAAAAATAGACAAGTAGTCTTGAAGTCAGTAATAAGATTCAAGCTGTTTCTTCACAATTACAGTCAATGAATGCAAGAAAGTTACAAGTGAAAGAATCGTCCAGAGAATGGTCCAAAGGAAAAGAAATGGGACACTCGATTTCAAACTCATGGAGTTCACAACGAATTTCCAAAGGGTCAGAACAAAGGGATAGAAATTGGAAAAATAAGGAGGAAAACAGAAACATTGCTCTAACGGAGGCAAAGAAGATTAGTGAGGGGGGTGGTTCAACCTCCTCTATTTCCACAAGAAGCGTTGAACCCAATTGTCAAGCGGGAGAGAAAAAATAAGAGATTTGTGCCAAATCCCACTCTGAAGCTGATAGAGCTTTATTTGGCAATTTTGAGGTGGTAATTCAGTCTGAGTTTGATCTTGACTCATAGAGGGACAATCAGGCTGGCAAAGAGCCAAAGGGTGTGCAGGCCAAAACAGGGAGAAGCTGGAAAAGATTAGCAAGAGAGGGTGGTTCAAGTAAATCCTCCCATGATCAGACAACTCCCATTATGCTAATTGGTGAGAAACGGAGTGGGGATCCAGTTATGGAAGGGGAAACTTCAAAGCACAAGAAAGTTGATGATGGAAAAAACAATGAGATCATCATGTATGAATCTGTGGTGGGCCCGGAGATGTTGGCCCACCACGAGAAATGAATATCTTAAGTTGGAATGTCCGAGGTTTGGGGAATCCTCGGACATTCAGAGCTCTCAATGATTTATTGAGAGAGAAAAATCCCCATGTAGTTTTCTTTATGGAGACTAAATGTACTAGTGTGCAATTGAAAGAAAAGGCAATGAAATAGGGAAATTATAATTATTTTGAAGTAGAGAGAATTGGAAAAAAAAAAGGGGTGGGTCTTGCAATGCTGTGGAGGGAAGAAGTACAAGTGAGTGTGTTGTTTGCATCAACTGGCCATATAGACTGCTGGGTGAATACTCATAACATACAACCATTCAGAGTGACTGGTTTTTATGGCAACCCTGAAACATCCTTAAGAATTTTCTCTTGAGAATTGCTTAGAAGATTGGCAAGTTATTGTACAAGCCCTTGGGTATGCTTAGGTGATTTTAATGAGCTACTTTCGGAAAGAGATTCAAATGGGGTTAAAAGGAGACCAATGTATCAAATGGAAAACTTCCAAAAGTCTCTAGAGGACTGTAACCTGAGTGATATCGATTTTGAAGGCTTTCCTTTCACTTGGAGTAGGAAGAATGGTAATGGGAGTGTTCTATGGGAAAGACTTGATCGAGTAGTTGCAAATACATAGTTCAGGCACTTGTGGCACCAGACAAAGGTTCATCACATGAATAGTAATGTTTCTGATCACAAGCCAATTCTTTTAACTCTTATTTCTCAAAATATTAATGATGACGTAATTTCAGCAAGAAAGTGCAGATTTCATTTTGAAATGATGTGGTTGAAAGAAGAGGGATTTGAAGATGTTGTGAAGGATGCCTGGGAGTGTAATGTAGATGAACACCTTTCCGTGAAAGAAAAGCTCAAAAGGTGTGCTATTTCTTTTAAAAAGTGGGAAAAAGATGTCTTTGGTAGTGTCAGGACTCAATTAAAGGAGTGCAAAGAAGAGCTGGAACTTTTGCAATGCACTAACCCTTTGAAACAACAAAGTCAGAGGAAGGATTTTCTTGAAAGAAAGATTGACGACCTATTAGAAAAACAAGAAATTATGTGGCAACAACGTTCAAGGGTGGAGTGGTTGAAAGAAGGTGATAAAAATACTAGTTATTTTCATAAAAGTGCGAGGGAGAGAACAAAGAATAAGTTCATAACATGGGTGTATAATTCAAAAGGGAAATGGTGTACGGATAGGAGATTGATAACAAAAAATTTCAGTTACTATTTTCAGTCTATCTTTGCGAAAACAGGAGGTCATAACATTGAGGTGATTACTGACATGGTTAATCCAAAAGTGCCTGATCAAATGAAGCATTTCCTTGCTAAGCCTTACAGTAGAGATGAGGTAGAGTTTGCTCTGAAGCAAATGCCTCCTTCAAAGGCTCCTGGAATTGATGGAATGCCCGTTTTTTTTTTTCCCGAAAGTATTGGCACATTCTTGGGGACGATGTTGTTGAGGTATGTCTAAAAATCCTCAATGGTCAGGAAAGTGTGAGAAGCCTGAACAAGACTTTGATAACTCTCATCCCCAAAGTTGAAAAGCCAGAATTTGTGACTCACTACAGGCCAATATCTCTCTGCAATGTGATCTATAAAATTATTTCTAAGACCATAGTCAACAGATTAAAGTGTGTGCTCCCAATGGTTATATTTGAAAGCCAAAGCGATTTTGTTCCAAAGAGGCAAATTTCAGATAATATCATTCTGGCTTTTGAAACAATTCACGCCATGAGAATTAGAAGGGGGGAAAAAGTTCCAAAGATTGCTTTGAAGTTAGACATGGCAAAAGCGTATGATAAAGTTGATTGGAATTTCATTTGTAAAATGATGGAGAAATTGGGTTTCCCTGATGACTTTATTAAGCTGGTCTTTGAGTGTATATCTACTGTTTCATATTCTTTGATAAGGCATGGAGTTGTTGAAGGTAATATTATCCCACAAAGGGGGATTAGACAAGGAGATCCCTTATCTCCCTATATTTTCCTTATTTTGTGCGGGGGGTTTTTCTTCACTTCTTAAACAGTCAGAGCTTTCTGGTGAAATAAAAAGGATTGACGTGGCAAGGGGGGCCCCTCCAATTTCTCATTTTATTTTATTATTTTATTTTTTTTGCAGATGATAGCCTACTCTTTCTTTAAGAAACACCTCAGACCTGTAGAACCCTTAAAAGGGTGTTTGAGATTTATGAGCCAGCAACAGGGCAAAAAATAAATTTGGAGGAGTCAGCAATTGCTTTTAGTCCGAACACTCCTGTACATTTAAGAAATGAGGTTAGTAGCGTTCTAAAGATCCCAATTGTTGAGTTTCATGAGAAATATTTGGGACTACCAACTATGATTGATAGGAAAAAGAAGGATTGTTTTAACGGAATAAAAGAAAGATTGAGAAAGAAGCTTAATGAATGGAAAGAGAAATGTTGGAGACTTCTTACTAATGAACAGTCCATGATTCACAAGGTGTTAAAAGCTTGATATTTTCCAAACTGTAATTTCTTGGCAGCTGGTTAAGAAAAAGCTTCTTCATATGTTTGGAGGTCTTTGATTTGGGGCCGTGAATTGCTCTTGAGTGGGTTAAGGAAGAGGATTGGAGATGGACAAGATACTCTAGACTATGGAGATGCTTGGATTCCTAGACCTAATTCTTTCCGCTCTTGAGCGGGATGAAATTTGCTCGGAATGCTGGCTTTTCTTCTATTCTAATTGAGTCTGATTCACAAGGAGTGGTAAATGATGTAAAGAAAGATGAGGAAGAGTCGTGGGCATCAGATGAGCATCTCATTGATGATATTAAGAGGAGTCTGCAACAATTTGATGATGTTACTGTTTCTTTCAGTCCAAGGGGGTGCAATCAAGTCATTTTCTAGCTAGGCATGCACTTAATTGTAATACTATGGTAACTTGGATTGAAGAGGTTCCCCTCTATCTGGAGCCAATTGTACAAGATGATATTGTTGTATCATCTTAATTGTTATCAATGATTTCCACTTTCGCAAAAAAGAAAAGAAAAGAAAAGATTATATTGGAAAATTGCTTTCTGATTCATTTGTCTAAATTACAAGTCGCATTGAGGTTTCGCCCAATAAATTGAAGTTGAAATTTACAAGTCTTAAACTTCATGGTCATCACAATCCCTAGTGTAGCAGCAACCAGAAAAATCAAGTCGATTGCTGGTTATAGAATTATGCAAAAGGAAATAAAGAAAGAGATATTTAGTGATATACCCATTTTTAGCACTAATATTATAAATAAATCATACACCATTGAATTTCTATAAACAAACAAAAAAAAAAAAACCCAAAAAATGACACATGGCCTTATTGAATTTAATATTGATTATTAAATTACTTTGATGCCTATTGAGTGTTCTGGGTATTTTTGTGAGATTTTAGGATTGAGCTTGTTTTAAGAAATTGATGGTAGTTTTGTAATTTATAAGAAGTTAAAAGCCTATTTGTTATGTTGTAAATAGGCTTTGAGTGTGTTTATAAAGTCCATTTCATACAAGGTATTTTTATAATTTGGGCCCCTATATTAGATATAATAGTGAATCTCCCTTAAAGAAAATTACTTATGCAAAATAAAATCTTACAATATCGAAAGAGTAAAATAACAACGTTTTAAGAGTGACCATGAAATTGTTATGAGAGGAATTATTATTATTAAAACTTGTGTGCTTATTTGACTATGTTTCGTTTGCATGTCTTTTGAGAGAAGCTAACTTTATGGTTGATGCTCTAGCTGCCCTAGGACTTCGGCTTAATCACCGCCATGTTTAGATTTGTTCTCTTTCAACGAATCATGCTCGTACTTATCAATGAGTTGTCTTAGAATGGTGGCCAAGATTAAATGCAGTGACTGGTTGATAGATACACTCTCGTCTTCGTCTGCCGTTTGGTGATGTCAACATTTGCTGTCCATCTCATAAACATCATCATAGAACGACACATCATCATAGAACGACCTGGAAGCCCAGTCTAGTCGCCAAAGAATCCCACTTCCAAACGGCACCGTTTAAGTCTCAAATCTTCTTCTTTTATCTATAAATTTAAAAAAAAAAAAAAACAATTCCATTTCCAGATTCCAATTTTCAATCTGCCAAGGACCCGTAAGTCCCATTTCACACTTACTACGAGACTCGCGAAACTCAAAACCTTCATCCACAGTGATTAGCTTGGCTTAATCCAATCTTTCCATTATTGTTGATGCGATAATTAATAATGGTACGTGGAAAAAACTTCGACGACTAATGCCCATTGACTTGGGGAAGAAGAACAAACAAAGCACACACCTTTCAGCTTTCAACCACATATCTCTCTCTTTCTGCTCTTACTGATACTGTTAGGCAGGCAGAGTATTAGATCTGTGCCCTGCAATCAGTACATAGAATTCAACTGGGTCTTGTAGCTTGCTTCTTTTTATAGCTTCCTCGGGTATTTCTGCCTCTGCGAAACGAACAGGTACACAATTTCTTTACGTGTTTTAATCGTAATCTTTGTTTCATTATTGTTCTGGTACACGCCCAGTTTTACTTTTTATGGTAGCTTTCTGTTTGTGGAAAGTCTTTTTCACATTGCTAGGCAGGTAGTGTTGTTGCTAGTTATTACTTTAGTTGTTTTGTTGATGGATTAAATTTTTTGGGGTTTGAGAATTTTGGTTAAAGAGTTGAGATTTAGGTTCGACAGTGATTGTGGCTCACTGGGTTTCAGCCATTTTTCCTTTTTCAGAGGGGACTCTGGTTTTTCAGACTTGTAAAATGTGGATAGAAAACCGTCTTTTAATGGAAAAAGCAATTGAAATTAACACAAAGTTTGGTTTTTATTGATTTGGGTTTGAATGTTATGTTTACTAGTTCAGGCTCCAGATGATGGTATTTGTAATTCTATATTTGGGTAGTGGGGTTTGCCTATTAAATGCAATAGTGGCCTAATTTTCATTGTTTTGATATTTCTTTACGTCTGATGACTTCTTTATAAATTATTAATTGTAGGGAGCTTATTGAATCAGAGTAAAATGCAAGATTTAGTTAGTAATAATGGGAACAATCAGTTATCACGCCATTGGAGGTTGTCTTGAAGCGAAGCTTGAACTGCCAATGAGATGTCTTCGAGTAAGAGGGCATCTCAACAGTTGAAGGATGGTAGGATGCGGAATCAAAGCACTGATGTCTTGAACAGGTCATACCCACAACCAACTTATTATAAAGAGTGTTTATTCACCAGTGTTTTGTTTCCAGGTTGATTGATTCAACATTTCCCTCCTACTGATAGTTGATTGATGTAAAAATTTTGTGCACTTGCTAATAAATTTCAAGCAAGCATAGACCTAGAGTGCAAATGAGGTTGGGTAACCTATGGGGTTTAATTCTAAATGATGCTAATCCTTACAGTTAGAGTTTAGTGCCTCTTAAAATGATGGACATGGAAGTTTGTTTCTGTGTGAGATTGCTTGTGCAAAAAGGTTTTTGTAACTATACATAGCGGGAACCTTTTGAGATTTACCAACTACCAAGTTACCTTAAAATTTCAAAATTTGAGCTCGAGTCGTGTTTTGTATGGGTCATGTTTTGGGAGGAGGTATGGCTTCCAGATTTGGTTATTGGTTGATGTGATTAATAAGTTTTGTAGACAATGAAGATATTAATAAAGAAAAAGAAGGAAAGATTAAGAAGAATGATACTTTCTTTTTGTCAGTTGGAAAGGTTGAGAGTAAGAAACCTTGGAGTCACAATAAAGCCTTTCAAAACTAGAAGTCTTATCTGGAAGATGTTTAATGAATCTCATTATAAAACTTTTTGTTGTTGTTGAAAAGCTAAAGAGAATGAGAAGAAAACTAGCGGAGTACTATTTCAAGGAAACTTCAAAATAGAACTCATTTATAACTTAATTGGTGCACCGTGCACAAAAGATCATAATTTTCCTTCTTATGAAATTTAGATTTTCAACCAAAAAATGAAATTTAGATAAATTTATAGGGTAATGATTTCCCCACTCCAATTTTATCCACTTACACTCCATTTTTATAGTGGATAAAATTGGAGTGGGGAAATCACCACTCAATTTATATTGAAGTTTTCGTTTTGGTATTAATCGTTTCCTTCATTGAGCCTCTTTACATGTACTACTGATCCCCATCTATATGAAAATATACAAGTTAAATGGTCTGTTTAATGCTCATGTTCTTAAGTATCTTTGTTTTCCCCCTTCCATTTTGTAGGCGTAGCTCTGAAGCACAGCTTACTCCAAAAAATTTAAAAGATGATAGTGTTGTTCATTTTAAAGATCGAGAATCTATGGTACTGGTACTTCATTAGTTTATACATAAAATGTATGTTAACAAGCAGGAACTTTATTTGATATTTTACACTATGTATGTTAACAAGCAGGAACTTTATTCTCGAGCCAGAGCGCAGGAAGAGGAGATCCAATTTCTCCGTGGGCAAATTACTGTTGCTTGTGTGAAGGTATAGCAATTCTTAACTTGCCATTTGTCACATGCATTTGCATTATCCTTATAGTTGGTTCAATTTTGGAAATGTAAATGCTTGAGAATTAAGTGGTCTTCATTGTATCAGGAATTGCGCCTGCTAAATGAGAAATATGCATTGGAGAGGAAATTTGCTGACTTACGGATGGTTTGTCCATCGCTTGATAATCAATATGGTTTTTTCTTGGAATGCTCTGATTCCTTTGAAAAAAAGAAAAAAAAAAGAAAAAAAAAAGAAATTGGAAGATGCTAAAGTATGAAATAATATTATGTTGATTGATAGGTGATTGATGAGAAGCAGAGTGAAGCCACTACTTCTGCGTTAAATGAATTGGCACGCAGAAAAGGCGATCTTGAGGAAAATCTAAAATTAACTCATGATTTAAAGGTACACTAATATTTAAAGATGGTGCTAGCTTTAGAATATTATGGTAGTTTGTAGCTGGGAGGCCTATTCTTTGTTGTCTGTTCAAAATAATAGCAATAACCTGATGCCCAAGTATCATATATTTGATTGATTTATTGCATTGCATGAAGACAATGGAAAAATGGTTTTATGTAAAAGAATTTATCACAGGTTTCTCTATTTCATGACAATAAACACCTTTTGACTGGTTTTCTCTTAAGAACTCTATGACATTATGTAATGAAAGTAATTCTTTTAGCTATAGCCTGAAGAAAAGGAAAGCTAGTGATATTAATGGTTTTCCAAAAAATCTAAAATGGTTGATGAGAAATTAAGCTCATTAATAGATCCGTTGTGTTTGTCAGGCAATTCCTCCCCTTTTAAATATGGTTGAAGGTTGAGTTTGAGTTTGAGCTCCTGGATCCAATCTGGTGGTTACTTGGTGCGATTTACCTAGTAAGATAGTGAAAAAATTGGAGAATATTGTGCATAATCTATATGGTGGCCAAGATTAAGTGCCATTTAAATTTATTGTACATGATCTATCTGTTTGAGGTATAGTGTTTTATTGGTTTACAGAATCTACATAGAAAGCATAAACTCTTGAACTTGAACCATATGGGCAGGGAAATTTTGTTCTTTACTGAAATTTCTTAGTTGATTTTGTGTTTGATGCCATGTAAGATTTCACCACGTGTTTATAAGCTCAGAAGAATTGATGTAAGATTTCACCACGTGTTTTTCCTGCTAGTCGGGAAAAAATTTATTATGTTTACACTATTTCTATCCTTTGCAAAGGTTTGCAAGTCATCCTTCTAACAGAAAAAGAACCAAAAAAAAAAAAAAAAAAAAAAAAAAAAAAAAAAAATAATGAGCATACATCCCTATTCTAAAATTAATCCATCTAACTATTTTCAATTAGATGATAAGGGTTCTCATAAAAAATTACTCTACCTGATTAAGAATAATTTATTGGTACTCTACCCTGTGACACGCAGATACTACACAATACAAATATTGCAGGTATAGAGTATCTGATTTTGATACGGCCCTGATATGCCCTGATTCATATTGAATACGAATTCGGAGAAACTGGTTGACTTTTTGTATGTTTGACTTTTGGATATGTTATGTATAGGGTGGGATACATGTTGAATACAAATTAGGATAAAAGAGAGGTTGTTCACAATTTTTTAAAAAAAGGGATGTGATGGTAACTTAGAAAAGTTGTGAAGTACTTTTAAAATAAGTGGGCCTGAGTAGTATTTCCAAGTGCTTAGAGTTAATGCAAAAGGAAAAAAGAAGAATGATGAAATGAAATTAATGGATATGCATTTTACTTGTTTTTCTTTTATGTTCTATTTCTATCTGAAACCTTCTATAATTGAATTATGTTTTTACTTTTTTAGTGTTGTTGATGATTATTGAATATAATTTTATTTTTATTTTGTTGCATGCCCTTTTGTTTTATTGTCCTAGGTTTTAGAGTTCTGCTAACTTTATCACATCGTTTCCCGTATTCTGTTTCCCCACTGCCTAGACCAAACTTTAATATCCAGATAACCATATGATCAAATGCCAAAAGTCCACATTAGTTTGTTTATAGGGTATTCGTACACACTTAATCATATTTGGATTATGTTTTAGCTTGAGGACATTTGGGAATACTATGATCTTGATATTCAATATGTCCACATATTGAGCTCAATATAAATGCGTTGATGTTTCAATAGGCTGGTTAAACCTCTCTTAAACTGATGTATGAATCGGACTGATAACTTTAGATCTATCGTCTTTTTTTTTTCTTGCACATTATTGTTTTTGCTCTTAGGCTTTCTCTGTTATATTGCGGTTATTAATAGTTTCTGTATTTGGTAGGCTGCAGATGATGAGAGATATATCTTCATGTCATCTATGCTGGGGCTATTGGCTGAATATGGTGTTTTGCCCCATGCTATTAATGCTTCTGCAATATCCAACAGTTTAAAGGTATCAATCATATAGCGCACAGATAACATATATTGCATGTAAAAAGTATCCTGGCTTATGGGTGATGCCATATTCTTTTGTACAAAGTTTCTTTCTGCTCTGGCTTTCAGTCAGGGTTTTATTTTTTTCAAATCACATTCATTTTCCAATTCCTTGGAAATGAGCTATCTCAGATGATTAAAAAGGAAAGAAAAAACCAGTGACATCTGATTGATGCTGAGTTAAGGTGACATGTTTTGTGCAATGATAATTGTTCAGAATAGTCAAGGATGAGCAGGTGTTATGTTAGATTTATAATGGAAAGGCCGAGTAAAATGAAACTAATTGAGTGCCAACCTCTGAATCTTAGCACAAGGAATTTATTCTCTTTTCTTTTCCTGCATTTTATCGAGAGCAATATTCTTTGGGTATGGGGAGTAAAAACTGCCCATATTTTATTTGGGTCTATCAAAATTGGCAATCTGTTTTCTGTCTATCAGTCTAGCAAAGAGTTTTCTCAAGTCAGCCTTGATCTTTGTTTTCTTGAACCTGCAGATACAACATGATCAATTGCAGTGGAAGATTAGAACTTCACATGTAAGCAAGCACTCTTGTTACTTCATGCTGTTGTCAGTGATGATTCTTTGTTTCTATACCGTAGAGTGCATTGCTTTACCCATTATTATGTATAAAAATTGTTTCTCTCCACCACCTATTCTTTGCTGCTTAGTCTTTAAATCAGTATTATACTTTTTGCTCATACACGTATGTGCTGAAAAATATCTTATCCTTATATGATAAATAATATAATGCAGGCATATTCTTTCCAGTGTGACCTTTTTTTCTTTCTTTTATATTTTAAAAGTTTCCAAATATTCTTCTCCCTGCAGACATATTTAAGCAGATAACTTACAAATTGTAGCTGAGACACTGCATATCCCTGTTTTGATTTATTTTGAAATGCATGTTTTAGAAAAGTTAAATAATTGGAAATAGGGCTAATTATTTGGCTTTTGGGTGTATTTTTACCTTACTACTAGCTGAAAACACTGCATAGGTGGGTAATAGGCTGACGAATATGAAATATAAGAATTGGTGAAGACTTGAGAGAACACCTACTGTTTTGGGTATCACACCCAAGAAAAAGATGCATCACATTTTGTGCACAGCTTCTGGAATTTTGATATTTCTTCATTAGAAGTAAACATCCATACTTAGCTTTCGTAAGCTACAAATGCATATTTGGTGGGCTCAGGTTTTAGAAACTTGTATTTTTAAAGGTTTGTGTTGGTGATAGAGAAGCTTAGGGTTTGTAGATGAATTCGAGTACAAAAATTGATATTTTATGGCATAAAGTTGACATAAACTGAGAAGTAAGCTTACTCTAATATTTTGGGATTTTGAAGGTCTATTTGAGACTCTGGGGTCGTAAGGGTTTAGTTAGGCAGAAAGCGGCTAGGTTTTTGGATTAAGGGAGGGACACAGAGAGATAAAAAACATGCATGTGGAATTACTTCATAACTAAAACACACCATTAATTAATCAATGCTCTTTCTTGGATTACAGGATTACTTATGGTCTTCTTTCCTTATATTACGAATAAGATTAGTAATCTAATACCAACTCCTAATAGGACTAGTAAATCAAAGGGCGCGTATAAAGGCCAATTAACTATATTGGATTTAGATACTAATAAAATAAAAATCAAAACCGCAACTAGGGACCAAAACTGGCAAACATGGAAATTATTACACTAGCCCTGGCTATAAATAGTTGAAACTAAACCTAATTATAAGATTTCGATGGCCTCATTAACTATCATGAAGCCTTACTGCTGAAAAAACAAAACAAAAAAATCTTATGAGTGGATGTTAAGTCTTCTCTAATCATGCTATGGCTTCTCTATTCCTTTCCTCTTTGAAAATCTTGAGATGATAAATCTGGTAGCTGCTAAAGAATTCATGTGTTGCGTAAGGACCCCCCTATTTCTTAAAACTTTGTGCTGACACTGAGAGGCATTTTGAATTGTCCTGACCCATGAAGAATCCACTCATATTTAAGCTTCTTGTCATTTGGACGACACAAGAGAATATAACAAGGCTTAGAGGGAGGATCAAGTTGCATGATATCAGCCAACTCACTAATAGAATAAGTCAACGAAATTAGTGTTTTTAGTGTTGTTCACCAAAGCCACATTGTAAGAATTCAGGTGGGGTTTTGCCTTTGAGGCTTCATTTAAGGTTGAGACTTGAGTGAAACTGAAGCTTTTTGCCTGGTTTACTTGATAACATTATCTCTTTTCTCATTCTCCTTTTTCGAATCATGATATTACTATAAGTTTGCTTTTAATGCTCATATATGCTACATATAGATTTATATGCATGTTTGTTAATGAATATGGGAGACACAAATATGCACACTTGTGCAGGTGCCAAAACCTTTCAAAGAAAAAAACTAGAACAGTTTTACTTCTTGCCTTTGAGTGAAGACATTTATTTTTATTTTTATTTTTTGCTATTCCCTAGTTGTAAAGTGCAGAAGCTTCTTTTCTTGAATTAACATTTGTTAGGAATATTATACGACTCTTTTTATCACAGTTGTAAGTTAAAGGCAATTGCAGTAAGGCATCTTCTTTATAGCAGGATAAAATTAGACAATTAACATCTGGCGTGGAAAATGATGCTGAAAGTGAATCTCATGGTAAAGATAGCCGTGGTCCTGGCATTTTGAATGGCCAATTTCCTCATATCTTGGTATTTAATCTACTCATATATTATGCTTTGTTGGTCTATGGACTTGGACGAGTATTGTTTTCTTTCATTGTTCACATCACCGAAAACTCTCTCTCTCTCTCTCTCTCTCTCTCTCTCTCCCTCTCTCTCTCTCTCGCCTGGTCTTTCATAATGCAGGAACAAGGCTTTGATCATTATAGTGATCGACAACATCTGGAACCAACTGACAAATTGCCGAAATATGTGGCTGACATGAAAATGCTAATTAATAATGAAGTTCCACATGAGTTCACATCCAATACAGAGAGGTTGGCATAATTCATCTTTGTTCAGGAAAAAAGCTTTCTTTTTTCCATCTATTATTAAGCATGTATATGTTGAAAGAACAAAGCTTTCTATATTGTTATCGTGCTAAAATTTTATTTATCTGTGAACAAAAATAGTTAAGGACACCTGTATTTTGCAGAGCCATGTTTGATCACTGAAACAGTTTCTTTGTAGTTTAGAGGTCTTTTGAAATTTCATATGTTGGCCTGTTCCTGTGCTTTGGTTATATTATTTGTTGAAGATTGATATTTCATGACTCTGCCATGTGAACGAAGTCGTCTATATGGTGCCATTTGAAATCAATCTCAATTACATTTAGATGTCTTTATCGATTTCTTTGATGTGATTCATATCAAGTTATTGAAAGCTACAAGTATCACAAATTGTTCCTTCATATAGACTATTGGTGGTGTTTTATAGCTTCCTATCACTGATTCGTTAATACATTTGGATTGACTCTTAAACTGAGGGAAATTGATAGGTGTAACCAAAATGGAAGGGTTTATTCACAATTCAACCATAACATTATAGAATTATTTTCTGTATACCTATATTTCGGTGAGGAGCTTTTTACATGACATCTTTTCCCCTTGCTTATGTTTGACTGTGAATCAAATGACTCATAGGCCGATGGCTGGCTTTACTAATAAAGATGATGCGAATGTGAGAGCTGGGAGAATGACCAATGGCACCTTATCTTCTCCTCACACCACACATGATGAGATTGCTTCCTCTGCTTCTCAAGGTGATTGATGTTTTTATCTTTGAAACAGGGATTTTCTTGCTTGACCTTTTGATATCTAAAATGTTTCTTTTGCATTTAGAAGGTCCTACAATAGAGAATTTTCAGATTATTGGTGATGCTGTTCCGGGAGGCAAACTTCTTGGATGTGGATACCCAGTACGTGGAACCTCACTTTGTATGTTTCAGGTAAAATTCCTTGAACATTCTTCATGTGTGAACTTCCATCTATGTTATGATATACTTATATATCATCGTTGTTTGCGTATCAGTGGGTTCGTCATCTTCAGGATGGCACTAGAGAGTTCATTGAAGGTAGACAGTTAAATGAATTTTGACTTTCTTGATTTTTCTCTTGTATATTAGATCCTGTTAATCTTTTTCTACGAATTATTGTTTTATTAATGTCTTTATGTTTTCTTTTCCTTCAATCAGGAGCCACAAACCCAGAATATATTGTCACAGCTGATGATGTTGATAAAATAATTGCTGTTGACTGCATACCAATGGATGACCAAGGCCGTCAGGTTTCTATTACCTTGTATATACATGCACTTGTATATGTTGATACCGTCTCTATATTTTTGTGTATGCACGATTGCAAAAATGTGCAACTGTCTGTATGTTTCTTATTTGAGTAGGTGAAATTTCCTTTATTTCTGCCATTATGCTTTTAGTCAATGTATAGGAAAAATATGTTGTGTTATTTTCTTTTCGAAAATTTTATTTATAAAAATACCAGTCTTTCTGAATCTTCTTGGGGATAGTATTACAAAGTGCAAGTAATTTTGACTAGATTATCACACCCTTTTTTGAATGGTTGTGCACTTTGATAATCTTTTGTTTGAGACTTTGAAAATATGTTTTCTCATTAGTTCAAAATGATGATGATTTGATCTGCATATCTTTTAAGTTAGTTTTAATATATCTGTTGAAGTTTGGGGAGAATTAGTGAAGGAGAAAATAAAATAATAATGTTCCCGTATGAGGCCCAAAAAAGTTGCTGCCCATAAATTGATGTATGTGTGTGCTGTATCATCCAAGAAATGCAATTTAACTAGCAATGCATCAAGTAAAAATTGATTGATATTGGATAATCCTCTCTCTCCAAAGTTGTCAAGGCACTTTAGTCAGAGGTGGGTGGGTATGAATATCATTGCCTAGAATGCATGCTTTCATATGATTCTGCTACGCATTCGCACCACTGCACATAACTAGCTAGACTTTTGAAATCCTGAGTCCATTTGAGGAATAATTGAACCATGAGTTTTGGCAGCTTTATGTCTGATCATGCTATACATCCATACCTACCCCTCTGAACTTTTAGCAGGCAAAGAACCAATGTTATAGTACTAAGACTAATCTTTCATTAAAACCTCAGTTCTCTCTCTCTCTCTCTCTCTCTCTCTCTTAAGCTTATGCTTTGGGACTCATGCTAATGCTTTTGATGTAGCATAGTCATTTTTATTTGAAGATTTTGTTTTTTTTTTGCTTTGGATATAGTTCTTTTGCTATATACTTATTGTGTACCCGTGCAGCACCTCTTTGAACATGCTTTGATAAACTTTACCAGTTATCAAAAATATTATTAATGATAACTGGGTGTAACCTTTTTTAATGATTTATCTTGCTTATTTGCATGTGCAAAGTCCACATTTGGTTTCATGGAATTTATTAAATCACCCAGGAAGTAATGCCATTTTATATACTTGTTGTACATGAGTATTTTTTTTTTCCTAATAAATTTGTTTTTCATTATCAGGGGGAACTGGTGAGGCTTTTCGCTAATGATCAGAACAAAATCAGATGTGGTATGTCCATTTATATTATTGATGAGTTCGGCATAAACATGCCTTATATGATTGACTTTTTTATAGTTGTTTTATGTATAATGGATTCCTTGTGTATGTCTTTTTTTTTTCTTTCTAAACGTCTGCTAATAAGTTAGTTTCTTGCTTTCCAGTTGTCAGTGTGTTTTTGCATCTAATTGTCAGTGTGTTTTTCCCTCTCATCCCCTTTTGCCAACAACATTAATTATTTAAAAGGACAAAAGGATAGTCGACTGTAATCTTAAATTTTTCTTTCATTGTATTTTCATGAGGTACTTTCTAGACCCAGAGATGCAAAAGGAGATTGACGAACATATTTCTAGAGGACAGGCCACTTTTAGTGTTCTGCTACTGGTAAGTTTAATTTTTGCATCTTTCTATTTTCTTGTTGCATATATAATTCATCAGTCTGTTTAATGTAGATTGATAAACTCATCTCCTGACAATAATCTAAAATGCTAGTTTATAGGAAACTTTGTGCTTGGTGAAATTCAAATATAATGATTGAGTTTGTGTACATTTAGGAGAAAACTCCAATATAGGTACTTTTATTAATAATGTTTTACCAATTGTGCCAATTTTTGTTTAAACTCATTGCTAAAATTTCTTTTGCATTTTATTTCATCCTCTTGCTTTTAGTATATTGTATAACTTGTATGAATATGGATGAAACGTGAGCATCTAAATTGAATTATTTGTTGCGTGATTAATAAGAATATAGTAAATATTTTAAGTTACGATGAAAAGAGCAAAAGAATAGATTAAGTGAAACACCCCATGTGATTTATACATGTATTGCAAGTCTGATGCACGTATAAATTGCCATGATGATCTCAACCTGATTTTATATGAAATGGGTTGAAAATATGGTATAGATGGGCAATTATTTGAATCAATTGAGAACTCAGAAAGCTATTTCCCTGCAACTTTTTTTTTCCCTGGAGGATGGGTACTAAATTCCCCTGCTTAGTTAAAATGCCTGGCTTATAGAGCAAGATTGGGAAATTGTTCCAAATCGGGTGATATGCCTCATCTACTTTATAATAAATTACTAGCTTATATGCTTATTTTAACAGTGCCTGGCTACCAGGCTGTTCATTTTGTTTGTTTGTTTTTGTGGGGTGAGTGTGGTTGACTTTGTATTGTCAAAATGAGATAAATTTGTACCTTATTGATCCTTATATTCATAAGTTTGTAGCTATATGGTTTTGTCATGCTGCTAAATCTGTTCCTTATATCACATGAAAAACTTTTGCCATATCATCTTGTTGAAAACAGATGGACTCTTCTGAGAATTGGGAGCCAGCAGCTTTAATTCTGAGACGGTCAGGCTATCAGATCAAGATCAATAGTACAGAAGCTGTTGTAATTGCAGAGAAATTCTCAAAGGAATTATCAGTATGTTCTTTACTTGGTGACACTTCATTTGAGAAATTAGGTTTTTATGTCATGAGATGTTCTCCAAGTTACTTGTTGAAGTATTGGATGAATTTAAATCATAATGAATAAGTTTTATACAACTGTATCAAGTTGGTCTAGAAAAAGGTTATAATAAAATTTTTTGTATCTACAGTTTCGCATGATGAAAGTGAATTCCTTGTCAAAATATGTATCCATCATACAGAACTAAAAGCAATCATGCTTTCTTATAAGCCCTACAGTGTTTGACAAAATCTGCAAGAATCTGCACTGTTGAAAGGCTGAATAGAGTTTAATTCATATAATGGATATTTTTTTACCAGACGTTAGTTATAGTTTCTGTCACTAGTCATTTGTAAGTAATCAGAACCTACAATGTAATTTTATATTTTCTAAACATAAGACAATCCATATAAACTTCCATAATTTGTTGGTTGCAGATCAAAGTTCCTTGTGGCTTCTCAACTCAATTTGTGATGACATGTTCTGATGGATCTTCTCATCCTTGTAGCACGTACAATGTTCGGTAATACTTTAATTTTAATTTTATGTTTCATTTTTATTTTGGTCAATAACTTTTGTTGTATACTTGTATATTTAAATTAAAGCATTCTTGATATGGTAGTGCTGCATTGGATCATTTTCTGGAGATTTTATGGTTTATCAGACTTGTATTTTATGTCCATTTTGTGATATGAGAATAGTACAAAAAATTTGCTGTTGCCATTAGGATCTATACGAGAATCATATATAAGGTTACTCAGTGGATAATATGTTAGAATTGTGATGATTAAGCCTATAACTGAGGAAATCAGCTGGAGCTAATCTTGGAGGAGATATTGGCTGTAATCAAGTGAATCACACTAAACATTCTTGTTTTTGTCAACAATATGCCATCTGATATGATATATTCAATTTCTTTTGCAGGATGCGCGATACTCTTGTGTTGACCATGAGAATACTCCAAGGCAAGGTATTTCTTTACTTCAAATTATGCCCCAACTTCTGCATGTATGGTTCTTTTATGTGTTTTCATGCAAGATCTGGGACATAAGTTTTATGGTTAACAAAAGAATTGGGGATATGTTTTTACTCCTCGTCATCAATTCTTTAATATGATTCCTTTTTAAGCAGTACAAATTCAATTGACCCTTTTTAAGCCTCAAGTGCAAAGAGATGCTTTGAAACATATTTGGTCTGACTTTGATGTTAGTTTAACTATTACAGAATATGTGGATTACAGTAAAACTCAAGAGGCGAAGCACAGAAGTATTTTTTGTTTTTGTTAAAGAAGCATGGAAATGTTTTGAAACAAACAATCATGTTCTGATATTTAGTAATCTATCTAGATTATCCTCTAACAGTGGAGCAAATAGGGGCTTCCATATCATATTCTTTAGAACTTTGAGAAATGAATGTAAGAGAAAATGTAAAGGGCATATCTATTATACACACACAACACAACCACACAGAACACATGGTCTTGCACTGTAAGAAGTTATATTTCTGGACTGCTAGTTGAGATTCTTGATTAGGTGGCATCACTTCTAGATGTGTAGTAGACCTAGTGGTGCCTATTTGATCAAAAATTGTGATTGCTAGCCCCGCAAAGGGCCAATCTGTAGGGTTAGGTTCGGGAGACACGCATATTTTCATTAGTTTCTTGGTGATGCACTCCATTAGTAATTCCTAATCTTCAAACTTGGAAATTTATTTTCCTTTTGTTTTGTGTTTTCTGGTGCAGGCACTGGATGACAAAAGGAAAGGAAGAGTATAGCCATAATTTGAGCATAATGTTTATAGCCATCATTCATTCATAGTAAAAAGCGATAAATAATTAATTAAACAGAGATCTAAATACCAGCATGGGTAAGTTAAAGATAAAAGCTTTTGTAGTTTCTTCCATTGTATTATGATTCATAGTCGATGCTTATCTCTGAACCACAGATCACACATGCATTCTGTATAGACAAGCATGAATAAAATAGATGTATTTTTCTTGTATTACCTTATCGATTAATTTAGGCTAAATACTCGTTGTGTGTAGAAACCAAAAATGATGTTACAACTATCAATTAATTAAGGCTAAAAACTCTCTTTTCTTTTAGTGAAGTATTAGTTAGTTTAAGTTGTAATTCCATATGGACTATGACATATTCATCAAAAGAGTTATTTATACTTACACCCTCTGAGTTTTCTTGTGTTTTCACAAAACTCCCGTAGGTCTCAAAGATTACACGAACACCTCTTGAAGTTTTAGTTTGTTTTTACAAAATCCCTTTTTGTTGATTGTCCAAAAATTGATGATTTCATTGGACAAAAATCCTTATGCAAATGACAAAATTAACCTCAATGAAGTATATGCAATTTAATCTAAAATGCCAACTTTGTCATTTGGAGAATTTGTATAAAATTATCAATTTTTGAATGAAAAATCAATGAAAATGAGTTTTGTAAAAATAATTTAAAACGTTAGGGAGTATTCGTGTAATTTCTAAAACCTCATGGGCTTTTGTGAAAAAGTAAAAAAATTATGGAAGTGTTGGTGTAAATAACTCTTCATCAAAATAGTCTGTCATATTATGGAATTCTTACTATATCAAATATGTCGTGCAACCAGATGTATATACTTTTCTTTATCTCTGTCTTCACGTGATAAAAGATATATTACGTGAGGAGAGAGAAGCATGGATAGGAAGATCTAAAGTAGGATTAGTAGGTAACATGGATAATAAAAAGGCAGATTCACTATTATACTCAATATATAGGCTCAAATTATAAAAATACTCTATATGAAATAGACTTTAGAAACACACCCAAAGCCCATTTACAACATATCAAAGAGGCTTTTAACTTCTTATAAATTGCAAAACTGCCATCAATTTCTTAAAACAAGCTCAAACCCAAAATCTCATAAAAATACCCAAAACACTCAATAGGGCATCAAAGTAATTTAATAATCAATATTAAATTCAATAAGGTTAGCTGTCATTTTTTGAGTTTGTTTATAGAAATTCAATAGTGTAGGGTTTATCTATACTATTACTATTAGTGTTAAGAATGAGTATATCACTAAATATCTCTAAAAAAAAACATATAGTGCATCGTACAATAATGTTCATAAAAAAGTTCATTTTTCTTTCTCTGCATATTTTTTTGTTATCGGAAAAGCAATAATTTATTTTAAGGATAAATGTACATTGAGGACTAATACAGATTTTATATACTCGAATTGAAAATAAAATGTAATAGTTAAAATTCTAAAACCAAAAAACATAAAACATTTTCAGTTAAGACTTATAATGTTCACATCTCAGTTTACGATTTTAATGTGTACCTAAAATGTGTGTCGCGAATGAACATTGACTTGATTCTTTAAGAATGTGTCATTATTAGGTCAATCTGTTATTAATCTGACTTGTAAGATGGATCCGAATGATTATTGTTGTATCTGTATTCTGTAGATGCATACTCTTTATAAATTTTGTCATGTGTACAAATTAAATTTATAAACTTGTGGTTTCCATATCAAATTTTAGTACATGTTTCATTGTAATTTTAAATTTGAGATTTCAGTTCAGTGGCTGGGAATACTCTCTTTTCCTTGGAGCCAAAAGATCAAGTTTGAAGCCTATAATTATTTTTTCAGACGGCACAAAATTGGAAGGGTACTATTGGGCGATGTTAAATTCATTAATTTTTTTAAATGCTACCTTGGAATTGCAGAAGGGTCAAATTTTCCATCTGCATGCAAAGCCTTTCATTTCACATCACAAATTACTTATTTTTCTTTTTCTGTTTTTTCTATATATTTTTTTGGTGAAAATGTTTTTTTTTTTTTTTTTGGGGGTTCTTTTTCTGGTCAAAACATCCTAAGTTCACTTAAGCCAGCCAATAAGATCTCAGTGATTGCATAGAACTCACATGGCTGCACGTGTTTAGCTCACATCTCAATCACATTTCTGTAAAGTAAAGAAAAATTATTCTTTGGGTTTAAATATTTTATTATTTTTATTAAGATTAATATTTATTTTTATACTAACTTTTGCAGTAATTTTACGTAGGATTATTCATTGCTTGTGGAAACAACAATGATTGTGTTGTATGTAACGCCGGCCTCCTTAGGCCTGCGCCTACGTAGAATAAACCATCTCACGCTCATTTGAGAGAACCACAACTCAACTAACTTTATTTTAGGGAGACAAATCCTTTCGAAGTAGGAATCTCAACACCTATTAAGGTTTGTTTTGTTCAACAACATCACAAGTATGAAAGACACATTGGGGAAAGGTTGTTTCTATTGTAACGTCTGCGTGATGGTTTTTAATACACGTATTATAATATAAATGAACGATAGATTTATATTATAAGGGTATAATATTAATAAACATAATGGAATTCTAACACGATTGATATATACACCATGTAACGATATACTCCATTGATGCATCAATGTCCACTAACTTTAGTAAATTCTTCTTTTTTGTTTCTGTAGGTGAACTATTGTCAAACAAGTTTTCTAACGAGTGGAGATATATAAATGTTCCTAGATAAAATGGTGATTGAGAACCATTACCAAAACATAATACATGTCAAATTAACCAATAATACTAAAATGTGTACATATTAAATTAAGTAAAAATGATTACTCCTTTTTTAAGATGGCAAGGAAGCTGAGGTTGAGTTAGTTGGAAGGGTGGTGTGCTTGCATAGAAAATGCAAAGAGTCCACTCTCTCACCTATATTCACCGACTAGAGACTTGGACGGTTTCTTAAGCTTTAGATTCGTCACTTGGATCACAAACTCAACTACCAATCATCTACTTACAAATAGACTAGAAAAGAAACCATCACCTCGTATAAATAATGCCAAAGAAAAAGAAAGATAGAGATAAAGAAAACAAATGAAAGAAAAAGTAGAATATAAGGGAGACACACATCAATAATCCATCTCCTCTTCTACTTTGCTTTACTTTCCATCTAAGCCCCTCATTTTTCTCTTCTTTTTCTTTAACACTTGCCTACCTCTCTCTCTCTCTCTCTCCCCTCCTTCTTTGGCATATATCAAGCAAAGGAAAAGTGACCAAATTAAGAAAAGAGGCCAAGATCTGGTAGCGTGTGCCATTGAGGTTTTTGGTCATATGGGCTCTTCAGGGAACCAAAATCCTTGGGCACCATATGACAATTACAAAGATTGTTCTCAAGGAATTTGCAGCATCTACTGTCCACAATGGTGCTACATCCTTGGCCCTCCTCCCCCTCCTTTTGATTTTGCAGAAGCTGATGACAGCAAAGACTCTGCTACAGATTTCTCTCCTCTCATTATAGCAGTGATTGGCATCTTTGCAAGTGCTTTCATTTTAGTCACTTACTACACCATCATATCAAAATATTGCCGGCGAAGAGATAACGATGGCGGTCGAGACATTGACATGGAGAATTCGAATCCAAACCAAATTAGTGAATCATGGCAAGGCTCAACAACTGGCCTTGATGAGTCCCTGATCAAGTCAATCAAAGTTCACAAGTATAAGAGAGGTGACAGCCTTGTAGAAGGCACTGACTGCTCTGTTTGCCTAAGTGAGTTTGAAGAAAATGAGAGCCTGAGGTTATTGCCAAAGTGCAGCCATGCTTTCCATGTTCCTTGCATTGATACTTGGCTCAAATCTCACTCTAGTTGCCCGCTGTGCCGGTCGAATATTGCTGCTCCTGCCATAGCTTTGGTGCCTCATCATCATCAACAAGTGCTGTCTCCAGTTCAAGAGAATCCACAGCTGGAACAAAATGTGACTGCTTCAGAATACCAGCACAGAAGCCATGCAAGTGTTTTGGTTGTCCAAGATTTGGAAGAGGTTGTAAGTCTTGCAAATGATCATGTTGTTCCGAAGACTACAACTCAAGATATTGTTAGAGAAAGGGCTCACTTGGAGAATACAGTGAACAGTTGTGAGATTGGACAAGATGGGATCCAGCAATTGAGGAGATCAGCTTCTTTGAATTGTGTTTCCATTGCTGATGTGTTGCATTTACATGACTGTGAAGATGATGAGGACTTGGAGAACCAGATGGAAAATGTCCAATTTTCCATGGGAATTGGATCCTCAAATAGAGTAGCTGAGGAACAGAATTCCAAATCCGACAACCATAGAAGTGGAGTTTTCAGCTTGGTGAAGGGTCCTCTTGTGTTGAAGAGATCAACTTCAACAGGGAGATTTGTGTTCACAAGGTATGGAAAGGAAAAGAATTCTATAACTCCTAATTAAAACCATTTATTCCCCTTTCCAAAATTAATCTGTAAAACCACAATTTCTTCTTCTTTTGTCTTTGTACCATATTTTTATACACAAAAAGAGAGACCCTGCATACAAATATGAGACTAATTGACTTTCAAATCCTATATGGTTATGTCCATAAGCGCCTGGTCTAGTGCTATTTAGTCTCTAATTTGTTTGTTGAGGAGGTCTTGAGTTCAAATCTCATGAACTGACGTGATTGAATAAAATTATTCATCAACTCCTATGTGGGTATTTTACTTGAAAAAGTATAAAGCTTTCATGAAAAAACTTACCCGAATTGCTGGTCTCTGCTCCAATTATAATTTGCTTTGCATCTCCTAAAAATAATGTGCTCCCCTCTGCACAATTAGTACTCAATAGTGAAAAAAATGAGAATATTAGTTGGCAAGCTACTTGATCTCAATGGCAGGGGTTTGAAACCCGTTGGAAGCACTTTGTGGTTAAAGGCAAGCCGAACTCCGAGTGGAGATTAATCTTACCCTTCAAGTGTGGGGACACCTCGTGGCATTTACCAAAAAATTGAGAATATTAGAGGAAGGTACAACACAAGTGCTTGTGGGAATAAGAATTGTTCCCATATGATTAATTGCCTTTGTTCAGGAATCTTTTTATTCTGTGCTAGCTACACGCTGTTAGAAAAGTCCAAAAAGTAGAAAATGATGGGAAATTACCCCAAATTGGTACTGTATTATTAGGCCAGCTAAAATCCCATATCCATATTCTCATATTTGGGTTCAAAACTGGTGGGGCTTAAGATTTATAATTTTTTTCCGTTCCAATGCATATAATTAATAGTCAACGGGGTCTAACTCTGTGGAAAATGATATTGACTTGTAGACCTATAGTCTTAAGTTCGAACTCCTATAACACTTTGGTAGTATGTGTGAAAATCTCCCTCCTCCCCCTTAACTTTCTCAAAACAAAAACAAAAAACACATGATTAATATGGGCTTGAGTTTTGGGTAAATGTTAAGTTTAAGTTTTGAGTTTCTAATGCATGACTCTAACTTATAATTTGACCCAAAATTTAAGATGAGATTTGAGTCTTAGATGATCTAGAAAGTGATTTGGAGGGTGACATCTGGGGCAAGTGCCAGAGATATAACCCAAAACCTAAGCTCCTTAGAACTGAAGGCTTGGTGGGTGACCTTAAATTGGCCCACCATTTTGGGAGGTAGTGGAGATTAAATTTCCAACCAGTTTTGACAATAACAGATCGAGTCGCATTCAAAGAGTAAGTGGTGCCTTAAGCAATGCGTGAAGCTTTGAGTAGGAGCACACTTGTGAACTTGTGAATCACCCAACAACCACACAATCGTATTCATCACTGTTTTTTTTTTCTTCGTTTAACTTCTATTTTGATAAGATTCAGCAATAGGTTAAATTGAATCCATAGACTTAAAGTTGAAGGAAATGAAGCATCTAGACTCTAAATATTATATTAAAGTGTGAAAGAATACAAAATGGAAATACATTGGGAACAAAATGATACATCGGACTCTGAACAACTGATATGGACAGGGCATCTGTCCTTGTTCTTTTTCAAATAATTTATCAATCTTTTATTATTATTTATTTTATAAATTAAATAGAAACTTAATTAGATAAAGTTCAACAATACAATTACAAATAGACAAATTTATAAATAAACCCAATCCTAGACATGTATTTATAAAAAAACTTAAGCACTATTTAAACATATAAACACACCCAAAATTAACTCCAAAGTCAACTTTTTGAGTGTGTTTATAAATGGGTTTTAAGTGTGTGTAATGATGGATTTTGGGTGTGTTTATATGTTTAAATAGTGCTTGGGTTTTTTTATAATTTCAACCCCAATTTTGGGTGTTTTAGTGAAACTCCCTTAAAAATATCAACAAGATATCTATTGATATTTAACATACCAATTTTAAGAGGGTAACAAACTAACATGCTAAAAGCAAAATTAATGCGAACAAAAACCGCACTAAAACTACTAACTCAAATCACTACAATTTATCAATATCTTTAAATATCTATATGCTTGAACAAACAAGTAGATTTTTTTAAATTCAATTAAAAATAATGTAGGAACATCTTTGCATAAACTTTACTATATATATATATTTTAAATTTTGCATTTACTTTAAGCTTCATGAAATTAGAGGCCGGATGACGGGACATGGCCCGCATTTTTCAGTCCTATATATTTGCCTAGTTGTTCATATATTTTAGATTTTCTATGTTGCAATAATCTTATTGTATCTTTTATTTTGTTATGTTTATCAATGAATCTTATTGTTTCAACCAAAAAGAAAAACAAAATCACTGATTTTTTTTGTTTTTGTTTTTGTTTTTTGTGGTTGGGAGTGAAGTAATGTAGATTAAAGATCACATGTAAACAACCTCCGCCGCTGCTCTAGATATATTGGTATATGGTCATTAATTATTTTTCACATGCATGTGAGAGGCGTTATGTATTCATAACTTTACAAGGATACTCCAATGACTTCGACTGTTGAGTGTTTTTCTTTTCCTCCTTTTGCACTACTAACTTGGGGGAAGCCATAAGAATACAAATTGACCCCAAAATTTTGTTAATGTTCAGAAAATCAGGAGGTCAGCAAGTTTATAACTTCTAATAGTAGTACAGTAGTAATCTTAGGCCGTTTCTAAGATTTTAGAGGATGTGTGCGAGACGGGGAAAGACAAATTTTTATACTAAAATACTATGTATGCCATAAACAAATGTTATACTAAAAATCATCACCATTTAACATGAAATTCCAAAATTACTCACAAACGAAACAAATAGACAAACCATTTCAATTATTTCATATATGGCAAGTTAAAAAAGAAAGTGGCAATTTATATGCAACCTAATGATCTATTGGAGATACCGATTGTAAAAGTTGAGTTTTTATGGCGCTCACTAACCAATGGATAATTCAGCAAGTTGAGAATTGAGGTTACTCCTAATCTACCAAGTTTATTAGAGTTTGAGTCCCGGCAATTGCATATGCATCCTTCAAATAGAATATGTTGGTCTTTAGCCGATGTGAGTTTGAATTTCGTTTTTCTCTCCCTTAAGTTGAAAAAACGAAAATTAATTTATAAACATTGATAAAATTCATAATTCGCATAAGTAACATAAAAAAAATCCATAATTTGGACAATCAAAGAAACGCAATCACCATATAAGTGCAATTCCTATTCTTTTTTTCTTTTGTTACTATACAATTTCTATCCTAATTTAAAAGGAAAAACAATCGAAACTAGAGACCTTATGTTCTCTTGAACCTTTTTAATTCGAACTCAAGAGCCTAGCCCTTTTTCGACAAACAATTATGTTCATGAAACCGACTCAATAGGCCCCGCATAGCCACTATTATAGCCCAAATAGACCTCACAAGCCCATAACCCTAAATAGGGTTTCAGAGGAACCACTATAAATGATAATCCGTAGCCTCTCTATCTTTCACAGACTTCACTCTCCGCAGAGAGTGGACCTCTCTAGGTTGCGGCACTGTTGCGAAGGCATCATATTATGAGTAACAGTTCTTCTGCTCCACGGGTAAATCTATCAACCTCTTTTTTACTCTTTTAATCTTTGAGATCACGATCTTTGAGTGGTTGGAGGTAGCAGTAGCAGTAGCATATGTGATCTAATGGGTTACGCTCTTTTCTTGAATTTGAAGAAGACTTGGTTCAGATCAGGAGCCATTAGACCGGGAGAAGCATTTGGTTACTTCAATTTACATGTTGGTCTTCGTACTGTTCGACCGTGATTTCTTTGTATAAACAAATGAGTTAATTGTTATTGTCATTTGAATCAGGGTGGACTTGGGTTTCATTCGAGTTTACATCCTTGTTCAAATTACATAAATGGAAGATGGTCTACTATATGTGTTAGTTAGAATATCACCCTCTGAAGTGACACCGAATTTTGAATATTAAATTTGAAAGTTGAAGATTTTGGTCAGATCATGATACTCGGTTACCTTGCGATACAATAGATTTGTGATTGTATAATGTTTGTACCAAATTGTATTTAGATGAAATTTGTAATTTACTTTTGACACCAAAATAATAAAAGGTTACCTTGTGTGTTGCTTTAGATTATGCGTTTGCAAATCTTTACATGTAAGATGCTTGATAAGCCATGTCTTGATGATCTAGATAAAGTAATTTCTGCGCACTTAATTCAATAAAACGCAATTCTCTTTTCTCACCTGAATCATAGTTTTGCTGGTAACAAATTTTAGTGTGTGTTCTGCTCTTGCTTTACATCAAGTATGTTGTTCCTGACTAATTCGAATTTTAATGTTCGAAGACTTTGAAACTAACTGAAAGATGTTTCTGAACTGAATTCTATACTTTGCCCCTGAGAGTCATTTTCACCCAACTTGTTCCAGAACTCATCTTTGCATGTTCAATTTTACCCTTGAGAAATCCTGTACTAACTGAAATATGTTAGCAAGTATCAGAATTTTCGTCCAAAGTGATGATGTGGCACTTTAGAAATTCCTTGTTTTCCTACGTGTATGCCACTTGTATAAAAGAAAAACCATAACATTTTATGTTTAAACAATGAGAGAAAAATAATACCAAGGCTCCATCCCCATCCCCACCCACTCTCCCACATCCCTTCCGCACCCGGAAGCTCACCGCAATCACCTCATATGACAACATCGCCAAGATCTTGAGTTGCCGAGTCGTAAATCACCTCCTATAACAACAGTGCCAAGATCTTGAGTTGTCGAGTCGTAAATGCGCACAACGTTGAGTTGCCGAGTCGTAAATCACCTCCTATAACAACAGTGCCAAGATCTTGAGTTGCCGAGTCGTAAATGCGAACAACGTTGAGGTGTACGTGTCGGACAAAGCATGGTCTACAAGTTATAAAAAAAAAAAAAAAAAAATCCTATTATGCTGAATAGGGTGACCAAACAAGTCAATTGGAATATCGTACATTAAGTCTCATGGATTTGCAATTTCCTAATGCAAATACACTTAGTTTAATTAAGGCGTGTTGGCTTGAGGAGGTGCCTCCATGGCTAAACCATTAGATTAGTGACGTGATGGATGTACTTCGTTTTTGTTTTTAATTAAGCTCCTCTTTTCAATAATAAGGAAAAAAAAACTTAAGATCGATTTGATAATCATTTAATTTTTAAGCTTTAATTTACAATTTTTTGTTAGAGATGGGGGTAAACACAAAATGAGGGATGAAAGAAAAGTGAAGGAAGGGTGATAGGATGGAGGCTAGAGACATGAAAACAAAAGCTTTCTACTTGAAATTGTTTTTAGTTTTCATTTTGTATATAATTAATAATTCTGTTGTGGAAATAATTGGACCTAACCAAAAATGTGCCAACTAGGATATCGGGCCTCCAAGGGTGGTGGATTGTGACTACCAAGAATGGTGTCACACTCCCACATCGCTTGGGTTACATTTCTTCCACATCTTTCCCATCATCTTTCTTCCACCATTTTTGAAGGTAATTACAAAAAATCCTTGGGCACCATATGACACTTACAAAGATTGTTCTCAAGGAATTTGCAGCATCTACTGTCCACAATGGTGCTACATCCTTGGACCTCCCCCTCCTCCTTTTGATTTTGCAGAAGCTGATGACAGCAAAGACTCTGCTACAGATTTCTCTCCTCTCATTATAGCAGTCATTGGCATCTTTGCAAGTGCTTAGCCTTGTAGAAGGCAGACACTGCTCTGTTTGCCTAAGTGAGCTTGAAGAAAATGAGAGCCTGAGGTTATTGCCAAAGTGCAGCCATGCTTTCCATGTTCCTTGCATTGATACTTGGCTCAAATCTCACCCGCTGTGCCGGTCGATATTGCTGCTCCTGCCATAGCTTTGGTGCCTCATCACCATCAACAAGTGCTGTCTCCAGTTCAAGAGAATCCACAGCGGGAGCAAAATGTGACTGCTTCAGAATACCAGCACAGAAGCCATGCAAGTGTTTTGGTTGTCCAATATTTGGAAGAGATTGTAAGTCTTGCAAATGATCATGTTGTTCCAAAGACCACAACTCAAGATATTGTTAGAGAAAGGGCTCACTTGGAGAATACAGTGAATAGTTGTGAGATTGGACAAGATGGGATCCAACAATTGAGGAGATCAGCTTCTTTGAATTGTGTTTCCATTGCTGATGTGTTGCATTTACATGACTGTGAAGATGATGAGGACTTGGAGAACCAGATGGAAAATGTCCAATTTTCCATGGGAATTGGATCCTCAAATAGAGTAGCTGAGGAACATAATTCCAAATCCAACAACCATAGAAGTGGAGTTTTCAGCTTGGTGAAGGGTCCTCTTGTGGTGAAGAGAACATCAGCAGGGAGATTTGTGTTCACAAGGTATGGAAAGGAAAAGAATTCTATAACTCCTAATTAAAACCATTTGTTTCCCCTTTCAAAATTAGTCAGTAAAGCCACAATGTATTCTTCTTTTGTCTTTGTACCATATATTTATACACAAAAAGAGAGACCCTGCATACAAATATAAGACTAATTGACTTTCAAATCCTATATGGTTATGTCCATAAGCGCTTGGTCTAGTGCTATTTAGTCTCTAATTTGTTTGTTTGAGGAGGTCTTGAGTTCAAATTTCATGAACCGATGTGATTGAATAAAATTATTCATCAACTCCTATATGGTTATTTTATTTGAAAAAGTATAAAGAAAGCTTCCATGAAAAAAATTACCAGAATTGCTAGTCTCCACTCCAATTATAATTTGCTTTGCATCTCCTAAAAATAATGTGCCCCCTCTGCAAAATTAGTACTTAATAATGAAAACCTGAGAATATTAGAGGAAGGTACAACACAAGTGCTTGTGGGAATAAGAATTTTCCCCATATTATTAATTGCCTTTGTTCAGGAATCTTTTTTGTTCTGTGCTAGCTACATACTTGTTAGAAAAGTCCAAAAAGTAGAAAATTCTGGGAAATTGCTCCAAATTGGTGCTATATTAGAGCAACTCCACCCATTTGCCTTTAGCCATGGCAAGGGGGGGAGCTAGGGCGGCCACTATTCACGTGAATAGTGGTTGCCCTTGCAAAATCCGAATTTTGTGTTTCCACCCGTTGCCCTTGCTAAGGGCAGTTACTATTCATTTTTTTTTGTTTTATTCACAACTTTTTTTACCTCAATAATTAATTTGGATAATATTTTCGGATAAGATTTTTGGGTTCCTACGTGTCAATACTATTCATATCTCATAATCGGATAAAATTTTCAATTTCAAATTTCAGATAAATTTTTTATAAAAAGGCTGGTATTTATAGAAAAAAATTCATTAATTTTTGGGTATTTTTTAAAAAAAATTTCAAATTTTTTCCAGTATTTTATTGCAAAAAAATTGGCTGCCGTTGGATTGGAGGAAAAAATCAGATCGGAGAGCCCAGACGACGCCACGTGGCAACAGGAAAAAAAATCAAATCAGCGAGGTACTGTAGCGATACTGTAGCGGGGGGTACTGTAGCAGCACTGTAGCGATACTGTAGTGCTACAGTAACTGCCCCTCGTTTTGGACCTTAGGCAGAAGTTGCTTTCGGGCCAGCCCGAGGTGGTGGGTCCCACACCCCCCCGGGCCTGGGCTGCTCCGCTGGAACACAATTTTTTTTTTTTTCCCCCTAGCCTCGGGCTGGGCTCATCCGATGGAAAGACTCTTATTAGGCCAGCTCAAATCCCATATCCGTATTCTCATATTTGGGTTCAAAACTGGTGGGGCTTAAGATTTATAATTTTTTTTGTTGTTGCTCCAATGCACATAATTAATAGTCAACGAGGTTTGATTCAATGAAAAATGATATTGACTTATAGACATGTTGCCTCAAGTTGGAACTCCCATAACACCTTGGTAATGTGTGTGAAAATCACCCACCTCCCCCTTCCTAACTTTGTAATAAATAATAAATAAATAAAAAGCATGATTAATATGGGTTTGAGTTTGGGGTAAATGTTAACTTTAAGTTTTGAATTTCTATGCATGACTCTTAACTTATAATTTGACCTCAAATATATGATGAGATTTGTGTCTTGGATGATCTAGAAAGTGATTCGGAGGGTGACATTTGGGGCAAGTGATAGAGATATAACCCAAAACTTAAGGGCCTGTTTGATAATCATTTTATTTTTAGTTTTTATTTTTTATGCTAGAGTATTGAGGAAATTGAGATTGAGAATGGGAGTGAGGATGAGATTGAGAGAGAGGATGAGAGGGAGGAGTAACAAAGTAAAAACAATTTCAAATAGATTTCAATTTTTAGTTTTTGTTTCACTTTTGTTACTTTTCCCTCCCATCCTCTCCTCTCATTTTCCCTCTCAATCTCATCTCCACTCTCATTCTCCCTCATAAACGAAAAGTTAAAATTGAAATGGTTATCAAACGGGCTCTAAGCTCCTTAGAACTGAAGGCTTGGTGGGTTTCCTTAACTTGGCCCACCATCTTAGGAGGTAGTGTAGCTTAAATTTCCAACCAATTTTGACAATAACAGATCAAGTCACATTCAAAGAGGAAGTGGTGCCTTAAGCAATGCGTGAAGCTCTGAGTAAAAGCAGACATGTGAATCACCAACAACCACTCAATCATATTCATCACTGTTTTTTTTTTTTTTTTTTTTTGGGGTTAATTTCTATTTTGATAAGATTAATCAATGGGCTAAATTGAAACCATAGAATTAAAGTCCAAGGAAATGAAGCATCTAGACTCTAAATATTATATTACGGGTAAATTACTCAAACGGGTCTCAAATTTTTACGTGATTTACATTTTGTTCCCTAAATTAAATTATTAGTCCAAATGGTACATAAACTTTATTTTAATCGCCCATTTGATCCAACCGTTACATTTTCTGTTAAATGTAACCAAATTTTAGGGGCAAATACGACTTTTCATAATTAACAAATAAAATAGGATTAAAATAAATATAAAATACAAAAATGGCGATGAAGATGATGCTCTGCAATACTTTCTTCTTCTCTCTTCGTAATCCCATTGAACCTATTTCAATGGCTGGAAGAAACAAAGACATATTGAATAATCAAAAGCTGTTTAATTTGCAGGTGCTTGGACTCTATTCTTCATGCTAAACACAA